GGGCATGGATAGGGTGAATAACCGTGGTCTTTTCCCCAAGGTGGGGAGTCCAAAACTAGAAGGCATAAGTTTAAGGTGAGAGGGGAAAGATTTAAAAGGGACCGAAGGGGCAACTTTTTCTCGCAGAGGGTGGTGTGTGTGTGGAATGAGCTGCCAGAGGAAGTGGTGGAGGCTGGTACAGTTACAACATTTAAAAGGCATCTGGATGGGTATATGAGTAGGAAGGGTTTAGAGGGATATGGGCCAAATGCTGGAAAATGGGATTAATTTCAAATATCTGGTTGGCATGGATGAGTTGGACCGAAGGGCCTGTTTCCATGCTGTACAGCTCTATGATTCTATGACTCTACACTGCCTCTGTAAAAACTGGCTTGAGAAAGAAATTAAATGTTTGGAAAGAGTGTGAACATTTCAATTTTAATTTAGAAGCAAGTTTTCTGAGCTGCGAGAAGCTCCATTTGTTCCCAAAACAGACATATAAGCTGAGGTTTGGCAGACATCTGATTTGAGACTGACACACTGCCTACTGCGCTAAGAAGGCATTGCTTTGCAAGTTGAGGGGCTGTCCATACATTGCATGAACTGCACGGCATCCTCGGGTAAGGCGAAGGGTAGAAGGGTATGCTTCCTAATCAGCACCACCTGGTGCTCAGACATGGCAACCCTGTGAACCACTGCTCCCTGGAATACCTTACAGTGAAATGCTGTCCCCTACTACCTGCCACAAAAGTTCACCTCCACTATCTTGACAGCAGTCTACATATCACCCTCTGCAGATGCCCCAGATTAAATTTGCACTGTTACAAAGGCTCTGGAAGTGAAATTTCCCAAGACCTTATTCATCGTGGTCGGCGACTTCAACCAGACCAACCTCAAGAGCCTGCTGCCAAAATACCACCAACACATTTGCTCCACTAAAGGACTGAACATCCTCGACCACTGCTATGCAACCATTAAAGATGCCTACCGTTCCATCCCCTGTCCACACTTTGGAAAAATCAGATCACAACATTGTGTTCCTCCTCCCAGCTTAGAAGCAGAAGCTGAAATGGGAAGATCCTTCACAGAAAGTAGTATAATGCTGGTCTGAGGTAGCAGAAGAGCTTCTCTGGGACTGCTTGGCATAGGTAGACTGGAGCATATTCAAGAACTCAGCGGACAACCTAGATGAGTAAGCCACCACTGTCATGGACTTCATTGGCCGCAATCCTCCATACACTTGTTAAAGAAGTCAATCCAGGTGGAAACAAATCCTTTGATCTAACTCGTCTGCAACGATCAGATATCCTAAAGTGATCTAGTCCCATTAGCCAGCATTTGGCCCATATCCCTCTAAAGCATTCTTATTCATGTACCCATCCAGGTTCCTTTTAAATATTGTAATGTACTCACCTCCGCCACTTCCTCTGGCAGCTCATCCGTCTGCGTGAAAATGTTGCCCCTTAGGTCTCTTTTAAATCTTTCCCCTTTGACCTTAAACCTATACCCTCTAGTTTGGACTCCCCAGACCTAGGAAAAAGATCTTGGCTATTCACCCTATCCATTCCCCTCATGATTTTATAAACCTCTGTAAGGTCACACCTCAGCCTCCGACACTCCAGGGAAAAGAACCCCAACCTATTCAGCCTCTCCCTATAGCCAAAACCTCTAATTCCACCAACATCCTTGTAAATCTTTTCTGAATGTTGTCAAGTTTCACAACATCTTTCCTTTAGCAGGGAGACCAGAATTGAATGCAATATTCTAAAAGTGGCCTCAACAATGTCCTGTACAGCAGCAACATGATGTCCAACTCTTATCCTCAGTGCACTGACCTATGAAGGCAAGCGTACCAAATGCCTTCTTAACTACCCTGTCTATCTGCAACTCCACTTTCAAGGTCCCTTTGTTTGGTAACGCTTCCCAGGGCCCTACCATTAGTTGTGTAAGCCCTGCCCTGGTTTATCTTACCAAAATGTAGCACCTCACATTTATGTAAATCAAACCCCATCTACCACTCCTTGGCCCATTTGCCTATCTGATCGAGGTCCTATTGTACTCTGAGACCTTCTTCACTGTCCACTACACTGCCGGTTTTGGTGATAGAGTCATACAGCATAGAAACAGACCCTTCAGTCCAACTAGCCCACATCGATCAAGCTCCCAAACTAAACTAGTCTCACCTGCCTGCATTTGGCCCATATCCTTTCAAACTCTTCCTAGTCATAATTCCACACTTCCAGCAAGATATTGTAGAGTAGGATGCTGTACCCAGAGCTCCTCTGTTCCACCTGTTCTTTTTCTTGCTTTTTTCCCCTCATTTTAGCAGGCCTGGAGCAGTGTTCAGGGAAGCAGTCCCCAGAGCCACACAAGGGGAAGCGTGTCCCGGAGCAGCACGCAAGGGAAAAGCGCATGCCGGAGCAGCGTGGTGGGGTGGTGGGGAAGCGCGTCCTGGAGTAGCATGGGAGTGGTGGCAAGTTTGTCCCTGAGCAACGCAACTTACCTTGATGCAGCTGAGTGTCTGGCAGAGCGGACTGGAGGCTTGGAGTGGAGCAGAGCTGTAGTTGGACTGGGCTCCAGTGCTGGCAGCCAGACCACATGCTGCTGGAATGCTGCTGCAATGTAATATCAATCTGAAATCCTTTACCAGAATGTAATGTCAGTTCTTTAACTATGTTACTTCTTTAACTATCTTACTTCTAACTTATTTTTTAGACACTAAGTAATGCTACCACTTTTCCTTCTACTCCTCTTTTATATCCAAGATTTGTACCTAGGTAACTTGTACCTAGGTAACTTGTACCTAAGATGGTGCCGTTGTAGGCAACCATTGTAAAAACTTTCCACTGTACTTCTGTAGTAGGAGGACATGTGACAATAAAGGGTATCCTGTTCTTCCATTCCATTCATGAACTTGACCAAATGTCTTTTAAACGTTGTAACTGTACCTGCATCCATCAGTTCCTCTGACAGTTCATTCCACACACTAACCACTCTCTGTGTAAAAGAAAGTACTAACCATACCTTCTATATTCATCTCCACATCATTTATATAAATGACAAAAAGCAATGGACCCAGCACCAATCCTTTCAGCGCACCAATCTTCGTGGCACACCACAGGACACAGGCCTCCAGTCTGAAAAACAATGCTGTACCACCATCCTCTGTCTCCTACCTTCAAGCCAATTTTGTATCCAATTAGGTAGCTCCCCTTGGATTCCATGTGATCTAACCTTGCTAACTAATCTACCATGCAGAGCCTTGCCAAATGCCTTGATGAAGTCCATGTGGACAACGTCTATCAACATGTTTCAGGAATTTAAGGTTTTCATGTCAGGGTTTATCATCTCTTCCAGTATGGTGTGTTCCCAAGTTGATGGCAGGTGTCCCAAATACACCTGCTTCCTGCACTCCCTCTCTTAGATCCTTTTGATACTCAACTGAACCATCAACTGATCAGCTAACTGCACTACCTGTGGCTGGGAAATGAGCTATATACACCCATGTACTCTCTGTGCCTGGATTCAGCTCCAACAACACTTAAGAAGCTGGACACCATCCTGGACAAAGCAGCTCACTTAATTGGCACTACATCCGCAAGCATCCATTCCCCTCCACCAATGCCCAGTAGCAGCAATGTGATCTACTAGATGCACTGCAGAAATTCACCAAAGATCTTTAGACAGCATCTTCTAAACCCATGACCACTTCCATCTGGAAAGAAAGACAAGGGCAGCAGATTCATGGGAACATCACCACCTGCAAGTCCCCCTCCAAGCATTTCACCATCCTGACTTGGAAATATATCGCCAATTCTTCACTGTTGCTGAAGTTACTGTCACTGTCAAAATCCTGGAATTCCCGCCCTATTGGCATTGTGGATCATCCGACAGCAGGTGGATTGCAGTGGTTCAAGAAGGCAGCACACCATCACGGGCAATAAACACTGGCCAGCCAGCGATGCCCACATCCTACAAATTTTTAAAAATGCATTTTTTAAAATTGCCATGCCATGCTTTTTGGTTCAAGATGAGTATCCTGTTTGTGGCTGTGGTTGTTATGTTGTGGTAAATTCTAATGACAGACACAGGAGTTTGAGTATGATCATTTAGTCAAGCGAACAAAGGGAGAGTATACTCAAGACTAGCTAGAATAAACCCTACTGAATATAAGAAATTCATCACTTATATTCATTTTTAGTTTCATTCTGTTAATCAAATTCCTACCAGAATTTAGGATTCTGTTATTCTGTCGGTTCGGAAACATACAATAAACAAAAGTCTTCAGTCTTGGGTATGTATTTTCATTCACCCAAGCAAAGCCTCTTGCCCTAGCCCAGCTATATTTTTTGGTTCAACTCTTACCCATTTATCCCCTCACACTCCCCTTTTGTCTCCTTATCAGTTAATCCACTGTAGTTCCTATGGCCTTTCTGGAAGGTTCCTGCTGTTGTCAACCTTTATGGTGTAGAACATTCACCTGAAGAATTTTTCTTACTGTAAGCATAGAAATCACTATTTAATCTTTAGTCTAACTCTTACACTTTTAAACTCCAAACCTCTTACAATAAAGGCCATAATTACCTTTTACTTTTTTAATTGTTTTTATGGCATTTTGTATGAGTGGCACAAATGCTTCTGCGGTTAATGACAGTATTTATAAAGAACACCATAAGGTTTTTATTCTATTTTTAGCAAATCAACCCAGATATCTCCTTGTAGGTAATTACTGAACCACACAAATATTGACCAAACATGGTACATTTCTCTCTTTCTTTTGTTTCTTTGATTCATAATTACACTTCACTCCATCATTTCTATCTCTATCAGTATTATCATCTGTTTCTGTTTCTATCCACATCTGTCTATCCAATGGAATATTCCGTAGACTCCTTACTCTACAGTCTTCGTGTTTTATGTGACAAATGGTTCGCTTTGAAATTATTTGGTATACAGCTATTATTTCTAATGCATTGAATCTGGCATTTATTATGCTAATTTTCTCATATTCCTTCTTCTAGGGCATCACTTTAAAAATGAATGAATTGAACCACTGTATTGTTGCAAGGATAATGCATGGAGGAATGATACATAGACAAGGTAGGTAGAAGATCTATATTAATCCACAAATTTAACTATTACCATTCCAAGAAATTCATACATTTGGAGACAAAACATTCAGTACATAATTTTTCCATCAGTATTTTGCCCGATGTTGCCAATGGGAAAAGTTACAAATAATTAAGAAGCATCAACTAAAAAGTGAACCCAAGGAAAAATTTATCATACATGAGATAATAAGATTTTGGAGCAAGTCGCTAAAGAAAACCATTGGAACAGACACTATCCAGCATTCATGAGACCTTTGGATGCATTTCTGGAAATATGGGTTTTGCTTACAAAAAAGGGAGCAGGATTTTCCTGTGCCTAAAACAAATGCTTAAGTTTTTATCTGGCTCTTTTAAAATGTTTAGGAACACTCCATGTTGGTGATGAAATCAGAGAAATAAATGGCATCAGTGTAGCTAACCAGACAGTGGAACAGCTTCAAAAGATGCTTGTGAGTATATAGATCATCTTTGCTTTTTTAAGACTAATATTTAATTTGGAAGTAATTTAATCTTCTGGATTTTTAATCTGTCTGGATTTTAGGGATGAAAGGATGCATTCCTCTGAGGCCTACATGTAAATCACCTTAGAATGACAGGTCATCTTTGCTCTTTCCGTTCGTTAGCCAATTTTAGTTATCCATTGGTACAAAGTTGGCACGGACAAGCTCTGTAAACAAGTCTTAGTGATGTACACTTAACACATTATTGAAGGAAATTTAAGGTGTGTTCACTTTTAGGTGCAGTTGTTACAATTTATGATCTGTACTAAAGCAATAAGTATTCTATCTGTTCACTGTCACCTATATTGCCACTATAACCACCCACACCACACCCAAAGTCAGCCACACATCTCCTGCACAGATGCACAGAACAATATACCTTTTCGTGGAATCCAGTGTAACATCAGCATGATCCAGAGGAGGCGTAGTAGTAGTGTGACCCCTCATGAGCTGGTTACTGTATTACTGCCCAATTACTTACATTTCTCTACTCTTTCCAGTAACAGATTGATGAGCATCCAACTTGTGAACCAACTAATTGTATTATTTAACACATATTGCTGGATAGAAGATGGCTTTCTGCATTTCACAACTTGAATGATAATGAAGTGTTACTGCTGCACAAACTCTGTGAATGAGATAAAGTTATCCAACAAAATTTAATCATCTTTGAAACTAGCTGGCACTAACTTTCACTACATCCATTCATGCTTCAGCTTTTGAGTCTTTCACAGTTTTCATGTGACTGCAGAGACAGCAAAACCCTCCTCAGTTGCTCATGGTTCTAGCATCAAATATTTGCATATTGCATTTATTTCCACACAGGATGTTTCTCTCCCCAGTTCACTATTGGGGATTGTTTCATTGAACGTCCAAAGAAATATTGAGTGAGGAACTCTCACCCAGATTTTCTAATGTCACAGACTTTGTGTGACTCCATAGTTCAAATGTGGCCTACAAGAATTGTTAGGGTCTTGAAAGTGAAAAGGTGTTGAGCATGCTCCTCTCCCATCTTTGTCCTTCATCCCCCTTTCTTTGTTCCCGATCTCTGACTTCTTCTCAGTCATTTCCCCTATCCTTCGTAACCTATGTACCCCTCCTTTGCATCCCTGTTGTCCTCTCCTTCACATCCTTATTTCCTCCGCCATTGTGCCCCTATCTATCCTTCCTTTGAACCCTATCATCTCTCCCTCTTTTGCATCCTATCTTCACCTATTTTGCACCCTCAAATCCCCTCTCCTTTAAGCTCCATTCCCATTTCCCCAATTTCCCCTTCCTATACGGCCCCATCTTCTCCTCCTTTGCACCTCATTACCTTTTACTTTGCACTCCCTCTCCTTCCCTCCATTGTGCCACATTCCTCTCCTTTGCCCTTCCCTCCCACTTTTTTGCCTTTCCCTCCCTCTCTTTTGCCCCTTACTCCACCCGTGCCTTTCTTCCTCCCTCCCTTGTGTCCCCCCACCCTTCCTCCCTTGTGCCCTTGTCTACCTTGCCTTTGCACTCTATTTCCCCCTCCCACTCCTTCAAGATCACATTACCCCCTCCTTCACAGCCCTCTGTTCCTCTCGAGGCAATTTAGTGAAAATGCAGTGACAAAAACAGAGATTGCTGGAAAAGCTTAGCTGGTCTGGCAGTATCTCTGAAGAAAAGTCAGAGTTAACATTTCAGGTCAGGCGACTCTTCCTCAGAACTGATGGTGGCTAGGAAACCATCAGGTTATATGCAGATCATAGGGAGGGGGAAGGCTTAGGGAGTAAATGATAGGTGGGGATAGAGTCCAATGAGAGAGAAGAGCAGTTGGGCAAAAAAGCTAATGATGATCTGGCTAGAAGGGTGAATAGCTGTTAATGGAGACTGTGTTACTGACTAACAGTAGGTAGTTTGTAATGGCAGACTATGTGATAATAAGGCCTGGTGTTTGGAGTAGGGGGCTAGGACATGGTGGAGTTTAGGCCCTAAAATTATTGAATTCGATATTGAGTTCAGAGGGCTGCAGGGTCCCCAAGCGGAAAATGAGATATTGTTCTTCCAGCTTGCATTGAGCTTTGCTAGAACACTGCAGCAAGCCTGAGACAGAGATGTTGGCCGGTGAACAGGGTGGTGTGTTAAAGTAGCAGGCAACAGGTAGCTCAGGGTCATTTTTGTGGGCAAGACGTAGATGTTCTGCGAAGTGGTCAGACAATCTGCGCTTCATTTCCCCAATGTAGAGGAGACCACATTTTGAGCAGCAAATGCAGTAGACTAGATTCTGGAAAGTGCAGGTGAAGTGCTGCTTCACCTGAAAGCTATGTTTGGACCCTTGGATATTGGGAAGGGAGGAGGTAAATGGGCAGGTGTTGCACCTTCACCGGTTGCAGGGGGAGGTGCCGTGGGGCTGTGTAGGTGTGTTTGACTGAAGGAAGAGTGGACCAGGGTGTCTCGGAACGGTCCCTGTGGAAGGCGGACAAGGGAGGGGAGGGGAATATGTGTCTGGTGGTGGCATCTCGCTGGAGGTGGCAGAACTGGTGTCTGATGATCTTCTGGAAGTGGATGCTGGTGGGATGGTAGGTAAGGACAATGGGAACCCTAATGGCTGTTGCGGGAGGGAAGAGAGGAGGTGAGGGCGGAAGTGCGGGAGATGGGTCGGACCCGGTTGACCCAGTGGTCAGTGACAGAATGCAAAAGCAAGGAAGTTATGATGAATCTTTTTAAAACCGTGTTTCAGCCTGAACTGGAGTACTGGGCACCACACTTTAAGCTGAATGCATGGAAGATTTACAGGAATAGTTCCAGGGATAAGGGACTTGAGTTACAAGGATAAGGTGGAGAAGCTGGAATTGAGCTCCATAGAGAAGAGAAGGTTGAGAAGAAATTGGATAGAGATGTTAGAAAACCTGAGGGGCCTGGATGGAGTAGATAGCAATAACTTGTTCCCTTTGGCAGAGAACCAGAGGGAATAGATTTAAGAGGTGGCAAAAGAACCAAAAACAGCATGAGTTGTTTGTTACACGGCAAGGTGTTTACAACCTTGAATTCACTGAGTGTGTTGGAAGTGAATTAGGTTGTCACTCCGATAAGGAATTGGATAAACATGTAAAAAATAAAAATTGTATTGAGTTACAGGGTAAGGCCCTGTTGGGAATGTAACTAGCTAAATCGCTCTTACAGAGAGCTGTTTCAGGCCCAATGGCTGTGTCAATTCTCTGTTTTATAACCATTTTATGATTTTGTACCAAGGTAATTTTATTGCATTGCTTCACTTCCTCATTTCAATTAAATGATGATTTTCTGCCTGTTTGTCATTCATTAGTCTAAAAGCTGTTTGGCTGGAAGTAACTTAGTTGCAAATGACTACTGAGCTCCCTATATCTTCAGGTTATTTTTGCTTGTGAAAAAATATAAAGACAGAAGTAAAGCCACAGAGCAAAAACTTGAAGTGCTTTAACTGTGATCAAATGCCGCATTTTGTATGAAATCTTTGCACAAATAAATTCACTTACTGAAAAAGTCAAATCAAAGTTTGTTGTGGAAATGTACAGCACTACTCAATGGTTGTTAAAACATAATGGTTTCATCTTACACATAACATCCAAATGTCAGACTTTTGGATTTTAATAGATATTCATTTCTTCTCACTCTCAGAGGGAAATGAGAGGAAGTATCACCTTCAAGATTGTGCCAAGTTATCGCACTCAATCTGCTTCCTGTGAGGTAACGAATTTAAAAATTAGGTATTTTTAATAATTCCCCCTCTTTGATGACTAACTGTGTGCTGACTGGTGATTGTAAAAGCTTTCTGTGTAGGTTGGTTCTGCCTGTACAGTTCAATATGCACACCAATTTTATAACAAAGATAACGGAATAAATGAGTGGATCTCTTTACTAATATAACATGGAAGCAAAAGTCTTTGTTTAGCTGAATGGAAATTTTGGTGAATTTGGATTGTTTCAATTACTAAGTGTTTACTTGAATGGAATTCCGTAAATTCCCTTCATCCAAATTAATTCGTTTTTCTGTCTTGTATTAGATATAATTACTAACTAGCAATTCGCTGCAACCTTGACCGCAGTTAAGGAAAGTGAATATTCTGTCTGGTAGTTTTTATTATTGTGTAACAGGTTTTGGAAGCTTCCACTGCCTCCCCTGGAAACTGAAATATTACCAATAGACTTCAACATATTGTGCAAGGCTGGGGGTTGGGGAAGGACTTAACTGCTTTACCAAATCAACCATTTTGCTCTATAGATACCATTCCAATATGGTAGGCTAAACTTTGTTAATTATCTAATTAATAAAATTACATAAACCCTATTGCATTACATCTGTCTCCAATGCACCAAGGAACAATGCAATACTGTTTCACATGTATGGATCTGTATTTGGATTAATCTGCACCATACATGCTGGACAAACTCAGCAGGTCTGGCAGCACCTAGTGAAAACATATTTAATGCTTTGAGTTCAATATGACACTCCTTAGTAAAGAAGAATCATTGTGAATTTGAAACATTAATTATGTTCCTCTCCTCAAAGATGCTACCAAGCCTGCTGTGTTTCTTCAGTATTCTGCTTTTATTTCAGATGTCCAGCATGCTTGGTACTTTTTGCTTTTATGTTATTGCAATGTATATGTATTTGGTAAATTAAGTCGAAGCAAATCAAGTCACTTCTTCCTGGGTACAGATCAGTAATACAAGTATCAGTAGTAAATTGGCAATTCCATCTGAGTAGATAAAAAGTTGTGCAAGGGAAATATAATTCATATGGGTGCTATTAAGATTTTCTTCCCACTTTAGGTTAAAGCATGTAGATGTGGATAATAGATGTAGCTAAACTCTGCATGAGTTATTCTACATTTGTGATGTTTTGTACTGATATCGGATTAGATAAATGGAAAAGGTATTACGTTCACCAGTACTGATACCATAATAAGCACAGCAATTTCACCAAAAATATATTTTTTAAAATGGGAGAGACAGAAAATTTAGCCACTTTTTTTCTGCCTCAAAGAAGTAAACATATACTTTCCACTGGTTGTAAAGACTAAACTATAAGAAAGGTTCTAATATTCTACCAAGACAATCTAGGTTGTGACCAAAACAGGAGTTGCATTATTCAATTGATTTCATTTGATTCAAGTGATTTGCCAATGTGCGGCACTGTGCTGTTTCCAATATGTTGATAGTATGTTAAGTCAACATAGCTATTTATCACGGGAAAGCCCACTGGCAATTATTTATATAAATAATATAGTATTTTTTAAAAGTACAAATTTTAAATAAAATCTGCAGCATATAATGAATTTATTACCATTCAAAGAGAAAAACAAGTCAGTGCATGATTCTTCAAATTTGAACTTAAACTCAACACTTCACTGACCTTTGATGTCGCACATTACACAAACACACTGCTTTTAATCAGAAGGTTCATGACATTTCTAGCTCTTTCTAGTTTCCTTGTATCATCTAGGTAGGTCACTAGTTTTGTTGTAATATCTTAAAAAAACTATTTCAAAGTTGTTGTAAAAATGAGTAAACTTGTTGATTGAGTTTTCAAAATAGTAGCAAAGCTCCCAGAAAATGCCTAATAAGATCTAATAAAAAGTGAATTTTATTCATTCAGTTGCATTGACCAGAGACCCTAATTGTAAATAGACAGAATCAAGGAATGGACTGGCTGGAATATAGGTAAAAGTCCTTCAAGTCTGTAGAAATATAAATTGTCACTGGCTGTATATACAGTGTGAAATGTCAACTAAATGATGGCCTACAGTGTATAATTGAGTTTTCCCTGACATTTTTCATGGATTTTTAATTTTTGTGATGTGAGCATTGCTAGCAAGGCCGACACTTGTTGCTCAACCTTATTTGGCCTCAAGAAGCTACCTCCTTAAATTGCTGCATTCTAGTCATTTTTTTCAGAAAAGAAGGCAATCCATTATGTAGCACCTTGCACAGCCTTGATATGTGATAAAGTGTTTCACACCTTATAGAGTACTTTTGAAGTCTAGTCACTATTGCGATACGGAAACACATCAAGTAGTTTGCACATAGCAAGCCAATAGCAAACTTACAATGATCAGAACGGTTTTTTGTGATATGAATGGAGGGATAAATATTAGCCAGGACACCACTTCTTCGAAATAGTGTCATAGGATCTTTCATGATTCACTGAGGGGATTGACACAGATTTAATGTCTCATCTTGAAGACAACATTTCCAACAGTACTGTAAAGGAGACTGTCTAGATTGTGCTCAAGTGCTGAAGTGAGACTTGAAGCAACACCTTTGATATAAAGGTGAGCAAACTACCAACTAAACAGAGTTAGTGATGTAATGACTAGGGAAACTTCAATTTAAGTTTGCTTCAATTTCAAAATGTTAGAATCTTATAGGGTCTAAATTCCATTAAAATAACAAAGCCTATTGCATGATTGCAAACTCCTGGAGTCACCTTGAATGTTTTCATAGTTCACTAGCTACCTCTAGTGGTAGAGAGTGAATACTGTACTAAAACATGAACATTTTGGCACATTAAAAGAACAAGAATGTTCAATCCCATCATTTTCTTCTGGCTTCACCTGCCTTCTCATTTGGTAAATACAATAATTGCATAACTATTCAGTCTTAAAGTTCCACACAACCTTGGTGTGTTTGACTCTAATGATATTAACCCTCTCATCCCTACTTCACAGACTTTAGAATTTGCCCACATCCCCAGAACATGTGTCATTATTTAAGTTAGCACAGTAAACAACAGCGCTTGTTTTGGTAACATTTTTAAAGTTTGAAATGAGAAAGTGAAAAAAAGTGTACAAAATGCAGCCTTTTATCAGGCTGGAAAGATATAGAATAGAAAAGCAATTTATTGTCAGTTGTATTTATGAAAATACAGTGAGATGTCTATAAGTCACCACAATTCAAAGCCATTTTAATTACAGAAAGTATAAAAAGAAATAATTGAGACAAAGTTAGGCCAAAGTTCATCTTTTGTTCCTACGATGGGGGGCTCCTGGATATCTGGGGTGACTATGGGGTGCCTCTGCCAAAGTCGCTTCTGAGGCAGCCAAGGCAAGGAAATTTGGACTGGACCCACCGTGCTGCCACGTGCTGAAACCAACACCGAAGTCCCTGCATTACTACAATAGCAAGGAGGGATAGACCAGACCCATCAAGTTGGTGATGCTGAAGCCATTGCCACTTCAGTTGCCACCCGAAACCACCACATTGTGCCGTATCCCCTATGCACAATCTGGATCTACCAGGAGGAACAGGTCAGACCCACTGACTATGATACCCTCAATAAGACCGCGGCCACCAGGAACTCACATCCGGGAAATCTACCATGCTACCACCGCCTCAGCAGGCCCTCACAACTGCCTCCTTCTACTACAACCGCAGAAAAGAAGGAAAAGTGAACTTTGATACAAAACAGAAACAAAGAAATAAAACAAAAAAAGAAGGATGCGGCCAGCAAGGTGAGCAGAAGCATACGGGCACAGAACCCAGACACTTTCTATCCTGATGCTGCTGCAGCTGCCGCTGCCACCTTGAAAATTTTTGAAAGGTAAGTGAAAACTGAAGAAACTGGAAGGATTAAACATTTATGCACTTTTAATTATTCTGGTGCAGGTAGTTCTGTAGGCATCTGTTTAATTAAAAGCCGAAGTGGACTTACTTTTTATAGGTCTAGTTATTCTGCTGTAGGTTAAAGAAGCAGTAGTAATATCAACAAAGGGAACAAGCACGGGGGCATCTATTTCCCCACAACCTAAATTGCAGAAACCCCAGATGTAAGAGCCCTTATTACTTGAATCGCATATCTTAAGCACCCCTCTCTCAAAAACAATCTGTAGATGTTTTTTGACAATCCAACATGAAGAAAGTTCCAGCTAAAAAGAAACTTGTTCTTAGCCTTTGTATGCATTCATTTCTCACAGGAGTATTTTGATGGTAATCAGGAGCAGAAGCTCAAGCCAGTGTTCCTTGCCTGATTCAGAGTGCTGAGGCTAGTCCAGCCCTTTGCTAAGATCAATTTACTTGGCAGAGTCTTGGGATCAAACTTTGGAGCTTCCTGATTTGTATTGTTTAGTTACTGTTTAAAATCACTGAGGCAGCAGGAAAACTCCTATTCCCATTCCTAAGAAAATTATAACTTATTTTAAAATAAACCTTGTTGTTACCTAACCCCTTCTTGTTACCTCCCACAAAAATGGTGCATTATGGTCTATAGATAGTGTGCGACGAGCTCAACTCAAATATTGAACCAGATCATGGACTTATAAAGCTAATGCTTAGAACTGGACCTTGGTAATGTACAATTTAAGCTGTATTGGAGTCAATGTAATCCTACTAGCTTACCAAGAATAGATGTAAAGTTTATTTACATGCAGTACTGAAAAAAATTGCTTGGGAAAGGGAAAAATGTGACAATGATTTATGAGTAGAAATTGTCTGTGCTATTTGATTTATGTACCATTTGTTTTCAATAAACAAATTTGTCTTGAATGTACCCAATGCCTGAGCTACCATAACCCTTTGTTCCAGACAATTTCAAATATTTACCAATGCTGTGTCAATTAAGCCATCGTCCACCTCAATCCTAAATGGCCAATACTTTATCCCGAGTCTATGACCCAGAATTCTAGACTCCCAGGTCAGGAGTTAAAACCTCTGAGCAGCTATCTGGTCTAGCCCTATAAAAATGTAATACATAATACTTCATGTAAGTAACCTTTTAAATAAAGGCTTTTGGTTTAATATAACAGGGATTGTGAAACATGAATTAACCAGACAGCTGTTCAGTCCTAATCTGTTTTTGAAAACTCTGCTTACACCTAAAGCCTTATCCCTTATTGTGGAATAGAGAGACTGATTCCTATTTAGAATTACACCTTGTCCTATTATTTAATACAGTGTATAAAATTCTGACATGTGTTGCAGTTGTTTATATAAGGTGCTGCTGAACCTTCTGTCTCGTTGCAGAGAGATTCCCCTTCCACATCCAGACAATCCCCTGCTAACGGCTATAGCAGCACTTATAATTCTGTTTCGGTAAGGCTTCCATTTACAACACAAATCCAAAGTTCTGTTGCCAGTAGTGTAATTGTGTTATTGTTGATGATTACCTCTGTACCAAGGAAATTTTCTCAAAGAAAAGACCTGCCAGTTTTTAGTATCAAGTTCATAGAAGCCATTGACAAATGTCATTTGATTCCTGATGATTTATGAAGATTAGTTTTCAGCTATGGATCAGTTCCAATGTATCTTGCTTCCAAGATTCATTGGCACAGTTGATAACTGTAAATTGTTTATGAAAAGGACAAAAATTAGGTGAGCAGGGGAAGTGAAGAGAAATCATTTGTGTAATGATTGTGCCCATCTGAAAGCTGATACAACAATACAGCATAGCCTTTAAAGCATGGTTCACATGAGAGCTCTAAGAATTATGGTTAGGTTCCGCTATCTGAGTTCTCAAATTGGTGTGCCCACTGCTGCCGTGGTACATGCACATTACAATGTGAAGCTGGAGCCTGGCCTGGCAACTCAATGCTAAAGATCATTCTTTTGTCAATTGACAAAAAATATGGGAGTTTTGTACATTTTCAACACAAGTTCTTATTTTACCCGCTTTCAACTTCAACAATCATACAAGATGTGCTTATTTATTTTGCCTGAAAACAAAAGGGCCACAAAGTAAACTTTTGACTCAATTTATGCAATCAAGGTGCAGAACGTTGAAGAACAATAAGAACATACTTTCCCAAGTAGCTGCGAAACTTTTTATGGTGGTAGTGATTAGGTAATTTCAGAATATGCACTATCTGTCCAATTCTTAAACCATCATAAGAGAACCAGTATGATAGTTTGTGCATCAACTACTAACAGTCAGCCTCCAGTATAGTTTGGATGTTGCTGTCTTTTAATTACTCCTGTATTCATTAAGTTATTGTTAGTTTACCTACAAACCTCTCTTCACCCTACTGTTTTTGCCAGTTTTCTCTCCATTTTGCACAAATTCTGTTTGGCAAGAGACCATCATCCAATTGGATAGCACTTTTGTGTGAATGTAGACAAAAAAAAAATCAGCAGGCTTATTCCTGCACAGAGGGAATTGTACCTGATCCTGTCCACCTCGGTGTACATTGTGCTGGATAGCCATCAGAAATATATAAGTAGTGGATAATTTTCCCGTCCATAACCGGGAGCACTAAACCACAAGTTGTAAGGATCGGTTTTTTCCCCCAGTCTAGACATATTCTACGGAATTTATCGAGACTATATGGAATGAAATTGAAAGACAAAGTAAACCCTTGCCACTTTCAATTTGCTCCTTTTGTCCAATTCAGGAATGGCATTTTGAGAAGTCCAAGATCTGGCATTTGCTATGCATTCTGTCAGAGAAACGTGCAAGGGGCAGGGAACTAATGGAAATGTGAATAAATAATTTACAAAAGAGAATTGGTGATCTGAGTGTACTTTCTGTAATGAAAAAACAATTTTCTGGAGAAAGAACTCAAATGGTATAGTAACACAACTCAATATCTGAATCAAATTACTCAGTTGGCCAAGGTACTGAAATTTAGTAAAGTTGATGAATGTAGCCCAAATTCTATTTCACCTATTTAAAACAACATGCACAAAGTACTTCCAGATGAGTTGTGCCACATTGAAACAATAATTGTGTTCATTTACAATGAAACACCTAGAATGTTATATTTTATTGAATTAAAATTGCAATGTTACTGCAGTTCAGCTGTCTACTTGTGTTGAAAATGTAGACTGCATAATGGGAATGGGCAATATTGTTCACAGCTGGTATCTGCTTTCTATGGCTTGTTGCTAAGCAGCCTGGCCTACTTATCCTTGAATCATTTTATGTAATGGCTTGACGCATTATGCAAATTGATGCTTATAACACCTGATTATATCATAATTTTTGTAATAATAAAGCAAATAATAAATGGAAAATATTATAGAATTTTCATAGCTTTGCTTTGAAGGTGAAATGAAAATCTCTTTTCCTTGGGTTGACTTTATCCTACAGGATTTGCCATCAACTACACAACCAAAAGGACGACAGGTGAATAGTTTAACTCAATAAAAATTTTATAGTATCCATGACTTAGTACCAGCACACAATTCATTTTCTCATTTGATATTTTGTATGTTAAGTTATTTAACTTTTCAGTTAATTGTATTAATTAAATCTATATCTGGCCAGAGTAGAATTGTCAACAGCTGTCCGAATATTTCATATCACATTGTCATGCAGCATGGAAAGTGAACATTCAACCAATTCAACCTGTGCTTCCTTGTTAGAGCTATCCAATTATCTAAATTTCCTGCTCTTTCCCAATAGACATATACAATGTTTTCCCTTCATATGTAATATTTGAGTCCCATTTCCAAATCTCCTTGTAATCTTCTCTTCTCTATAAGATTAACAACCCCAGCTGCTCCAGTCTCTCTATATAACTGAAATCCCTATTAACTGACACAATTCCAGTTGATTTGTTCTGTGTCCTCTCTAAGGCCTTAGCATCCTGCTGCCTTCAAAGATTGGTATATATTTAACCCCATCCTTTCCAATATGTTTAATGTTGCCTCTCATTCTTCAAAACAAAATGTATCAGTTCGAACTTCCTTGCATTAAACTGCCATGTGCCTGCTTGTTTTGCCAGTCTACATCCTCCTGAAGCCAGTATAACTATCCTCCTCACTGAAAATTCCATTTCGGAGTTTTTGTCATCTACAGACTTTGAAATGATACCCTATAAACACAAGTTGCCATCATTAATCTGCACTAAAAAGAGCAATGGTACTAAAACTGACCTTTTGGAATACACCATAGTATATTTCTCAACAGTGTAAAAATCATCCATTCACCATTTCTGACTATTTTCTGTGCCTCAGCCAGTTGTCAACCATGCTACTATAGACTTTAATTTTGCTAACAAATTTATGACATGGTACTTTAGTGAATGCTTTTTCAACATCCATAAACCATGCACATCAACATTCTCTGTTACTTCATATATAACTTGATGAAATTATTCAAACATAATTTGTTTTAACAAATTCCAGTTGAACTTAATTTATTGTCCCATATCGTTTGAAATTCTGATTAATTTTGTCACAATTTGTTATCAATAATATTTCCCCAGCATTAATGTTAATTGATTGGCCTATAGCTACCCTTTTTTAAACAAAGTGTTTGTTTCCACCAGTCCTCTAGTAACCATTCCTATACTCAAGAAACATTGGAAAATTATGCCCATCACCTTCTCATTGTTTTTATCCCATTCTACTGCCTGCTATACGAATACATAGAAATTTGTAAACTTTTGACAGTAGAAGTGTAAAAATAACAAGCAGGTCATTTTAATGAAAATGTATAAAACTGCTTTTACCTTTATCTTTACATTTACCATTGTGTTGTGTATTTGGTAACTTTATTTTTGACAGCTTTGTATTCCTTTAAATTCCCTGGATATGTTGTTTAACAAACATTATATTTCCTTATAAAACCTCCCTTGTCTCATAGATTTATGTTCGAGCACAATTTGAATATGATCCATCAAAGGATGACCTTATACCTTGTAAAGAGGCTGGGATCCGGTTCCGAGTTGGAGAGATCATACAAATCATCAGTAAGGATGACCACAATTGGTGGCAGGGGAAGTTAGAAAACTCTAAAAATGGTACAGCTGGACTCATCCCCTCTCCTGAACTCCAGGAATGGTAGGTCTTCGCAGCTATCTTTTATCATCAAGACACTTAATGAATATGATAGCTTTTCCAATCAAGACATGAACATTATGAGTATTGTCTACAATTCCAAAACCTGCCTCACTGCTTCCCTGTCATCACACTATTTGTACGACATGATATCTTGAATGATGCGTGCATTGCTTCATCTGAATGCTAGTAAGACTGAAACCATGGATGCTGTACTACATATGATAGGTTCATGTTTCTGCTGTAGTAACACTTATTGCCACACCTTGATCTAATTTCCAAGTGTGTAAAGGACCAGTTCAGAGTTTGGAGTAACTGAAATTCCATGTTTTATATTTTTTAAGATATGAGCATTTCTGGCAAGGCTAGCATTTATTGCCCATCTGTAATTGCTCTTGAGAAAGTAGTGGTGAGCTGCCTTTTAAACGGTGGCACAGTGGTTAGCACTGCTGCCTCACAGCGCCAGGGACCTGGGTTCGATTCCACCATTGGGCGACTGTCTGTGTGGAGTTTGCACATTCTCCCCGTGTCTGTGTGGGTTTCCTCCTGGTGTTCATGTTTCCTCTCACAGTCCAAAGATGTGCAGGCTAGGTGAATTGGCCATGCTAAATTGCCCGTAGAGTTCAGGGATGTGTTGATTAGGTGGGTTATAGGGGAATGCGTTTGTGTGGGTGCTCTGAGGATCGGTGTGGACTTGTCGTGCCGAAGGGCCTGTTTCCACGCTGTAGGGATTCTATGAATCACGTAGTGGAAATACAACCATAACGGTGTAAGTGAGAGCTTTGTAGGATTTTGACTCAGTGACAATATATATATATATCATATTTTGGTGAGTTATTTGCAAGTAAGAATGCCACACAACCAGGAGAAGGGAACTTGCAGTTTGGGAGGGTATGCTGTGTGGAAGATGCAGAGAAGCTTCAGTGTGTTTTGACAAGTACATGGCAGATGCATTTATAATGTGGATAAATATGAGGTTATTCACTTTGGTAGCAAAAACAGGTAGGCAGGTTATTATCTAAATGGCGATAGATTGAAAGAAATGTAGCACAAGGATGTCCTTGTGCACCAGTTGCTGAAAATAAATGTGCAGGTGCAGCAGGCAGTGAAGAAGGCAAATAGTATGTTGGTCTTGTTAGAACCCTCACTGATTTTTCATTTCTTTTCACCATTTTTGGTCTAGAGCTGTGAACTGTGAGCGGAGAGCTAAAGGTGGTCTATAGACTGAGAGTTTGTTTTAAAAAAAAACAGAAAAACTGATGCTCACTTATGAGGCCAGGCCTGAAAGTTAAATTAATTTGATTCTTGTTCAAAGAATGCTCCAGTCATTTTGGTTCAGGAAATACATTATGCTCAAGCAGATGATGGATACTGAATGTTAACTGGGATCATAACAGTCAACCAGTCTAACAAGGAGAAACCAAAATTTGGACTGAAACCATAAATCGCTGCAAAATCTGTTCTGCAAGTGTCACTGGACCTGAAATGTTAACTCTGCTCTCTAATCACGGATGCTGCCGGACCTGCGAGATCTTCCAGCAGTTTTTAGTTTTGTTTCAGATTTCCAGCATACTCAGTTCTTTGGGTTTTGTTTCCAAACTATGTTTTGGTCAGAGGATAATGGCTGCAGAAGTTACGGGACGGAGTTTATTGTTCCCCAGTTGACCTCTCGTTATCCACTTAGTGAAAATGCAGAGAATAGAATCTCAATTATAAATATTAAGTGAGTATTCCTTGGAGTCTGCTGAAAGCTATTTGTATGCATCACTGTCTTCAGAAACCAAGTAAGATACAATCCCATGTGCCTGTGGGATTACAGATTGTGGTGCCTGCTTAAATTAACTGGTCGGTTATATCTCGTTTATTCCTTTTGATTTATCCCATAACTGTGTCTTTATGCCTGTCTGAGTGAGGATAGAATTGGGAATGGGTTTAAATTATAGACATTGATTAGATCACCTTGTTGTTTAACTTTGCTCTGCTAAAGTTACAATTTTATTAATTATTTTTAAATCTTCTGTTTAAGCTATAAACCTCGGTGTCTGGTATCGATTATTCACAAAGTCTGGGCTCATTACTGAAAGAGGCTGGCTAGGAGCCATTTGGGTCAGTTTTTAGGATCATTGAGTATTTTCATTTTTCTGTGCTGAGAATACAGGAAGAGGGAGGCAGATTTGATGTGGAAGGTTGTTCTGGCTATTGAGGGAGTGGAAAGAAGATTTATGTCACTGATTCCTGAAATAGCAGGACTGACGTATGGGAAGACTGTATTGGTAGGACCATATTCACTAGTGTTCAGAAGATGAAGGGGAATCTCAGAGAAACCTGTAAAATTCTAATAGAATCAGACAGGCTCAATGCAGAAAGAATATTCTGATGAGTGGGGGTACAGAACCAGCAATCACAGTCTAAGGTTAAGGCCTTTTAGGACAGAGATGAGGGATAAGGAGGAATCTTTTTACCCAGGGAATGGTGAACTTTTGGAATTCTCTGCGGGAAACTGTTGAGGCCAAAATATTGAATGCCTTCAAGAAAGATGCAGATATTGTTCTTAAGACTAAAGGGATCAAAGGATATGGGAGAAAGCAGGGATAGTCTGCTGAATCGGATGATCAGCCATGATTGTATTGAATGGTGGAGCAGCTTGAAGGGCTGAGTGGCCTATTCCTGCTCCTATGTTTTATGTTTCTATAAATGCGGTGTTCCTGTGCATCTATAGTACTTGTTCTCCAAGAACCAGAAGTTACAGTTTTGGAAGATGATGTTGTTGGGGACTCTTTTCAAGTTACTGTAGTGCATCATGTAGCTGTTACACTGCCAATACTGCATATAGGTGGCAGACAGTGTGTCGATCAAGCAGGCTATTTTGCCTTGGACAGCATTGAATTTCTTGAGTGCTGTTGGAACTATACTCATCCAGGGAAATGGAGAGTATTCAGCTACACTCCTGACTTGTGCCAGATAGATGGAGGACAGACTAAGCGGAATCAACAGTTGAGCTACTCCCTGCAAAATTCCTAACCTCTGACCAGCTTTTGTTGCCACAATATATGGTGGCTGATCCAATTAGGTTTCCACTTCGTTGGAATTTCCTAGGATGTTGATGGTGGAGGATTCAACAATGATGATGCCATTGAATGTCAAGGGGGTATAGATAGTTTCTCTCATTGGAGATGTTCATTGTATAACACATTTATCGTGCAAATATTTCTTGCCACTGAAGTTTTTGTCCAGGTCTTGCTGCATGCAGGAATGGACTATTATGAAATCTGAGGACTTCCAAATGGTACTGAACGTTGTGCAATTATCAAGTAATGAGGGTTTATCACTACTTATGAACTTCTATTGGAAAGAAAGCCATTAGTGAAGCAGCTAAAGATGGTTAAACCGACAACCTACCCTGAGAAATTCTTGCAACCGTGTCCTGTGACTGAGATGATTGTACTCCAGCAATCAGAACCATCTTCCAGTGATTTTCATTGACTTCAGCTTTTCAAGGATATGCCAAACCTCAACTCTTGAATTCAGCTCATTTGTCCATGTTTGAACCAAGGCTATAATGTCCTGGAGCAGAGTAGCACTATGCATCAGAAGTGAGCATTTCCACACAGGTTGTAGAACTCATTGATAGCCCTAAGGTTTTGGAGTAGATTTGTAGCTCAGGTTGTGGGTGTTGTGGTTGGTTGGCTGGCCGAGATGGCTCATTGTTGTTCCGCAGACGTTTCATTACCCTGCTGAGTAACATCATCAGTGCAGTCTCCGTTGAAGCACCGTTGTGTTTTCCCGCCTGGTTTTTAAACTCTGGAGTCCATTGAGCTGGATTACCTCACTTCCGGTTTTCCTTTGCAGTGGCGTGAATATGGGGTCGAGTTCTATGTGTTTGTTGATGGCTTTCTTCGTGGAGTACCAGGCTTCTAGGAACTCCCGTGCCTGTCTCTGCTTTGCTTGCCCCAGGATCCTGGTGTCATCCCAGTCAAATTGGTGGTTCTCCTTATCCATGTGGATAGAGATGAGTGAGTATTGGTCATGTCTTTTTGTAGCCAATTGGTGTTCGTGTACCCTTGTTAATTTCCTTCCTGTTTGTCCGATGTAGTGTTTGCCACAGTCTCAGCAGGGACTCTTGTATATGACATTGGTCCTGTCCGTAGTGGGTCTTTGGTCTGGGTGAGCAGTTGTTGTAGGGTCGACGTGGGTTTGTGTGCCACTCTATGCCCAGTGGTCGATGTGTTCTTGATGTAAGGTAGCGTGATGAGTGTGTCAGGGCATGTAGTATCTTCCTGGTGTTGTTCGTGTAGGCATCTTCTGACCCAGTTTTTTGCATATCCATTATCGGCGTAGTTCTGTGCTGCTGCAGTGTGTTGTTGCCCATTTAAATAGTGTTTGCACGCAGCTTCGTTTGTGTGTGTTAGGATGGTTACTGTAATGTCATATATAAGATTCCCTGCAGAGGGTGTGACAAACACTACATCAGACAACAGGAAGGAAATTAACAACAAGGGCACATGAACACCAACTGGCTACAAAAAGACACGACCAACACTCTCTCATCTCTATCCACATAGATAAGGAGAACCACCAATTCGACTGGGACAAACAAAGCAGGGACAGGCACGGGAGTTCCTAGAAGCCTGGTACTCCACGAAGAAAGCCATCAACAAACACGTAGAACTCAACCCCATATTCACTCCACTGCGAAGGGAAACCGGAAGTGAGGTAATCCAGCTCAATGGACTCCAGAGTTTAAAAACCAGGCGAGAAAACACAACGGTGCTTCAACAGAGGCTGCGCTGATGATGTTACCCAGCAGGGTAATGAAACATCTGCGGAACAACAATGAAACAAGGCTTCAGTGCTACAGACAGGATGTCGTCAGGTCCCAAAACACTTGATGCATCTGGTGTCCTCAATACAACATATGAGAAAAGTTCCTCAGTGTAAAGGTGACTCTTTGTTACGAAAAGGACTGTGCACTGGATACACCTACCAGTACTGTCATGGATGAATGTATTTGTAGCTCGGGTTGTGGATGTTATGGTTGGTTGGCTCACTGAGCTGGTTCGTTGTTCTGCAGACGTTTCATTACCCTGAAACGTCTGTGGAACAACGAATCAGCTCGGCGAGCCAACCAACCACAACATGGATGAATGCATCTGCAGCAGGTCACATAAGTTTGTCCAAAGGTCAAATTCTGTCACCATCAGCGGCCGGCGCAGTCTGGTACTGATGCCCTTCGGAGTTTGGTCAATAGTGGTGCGATTGAATCACTCGAAGTAACAAACGCTGAACTCCCCAACCCAGAGTACATCTGTTCCCTTGCTACCCTCAGCACTTCTTTGCCCATCTTTGACCCGAAGCCTTGAGACTTCATGAGTTCTGGAACCAATGCCAAGAGCTTCCAGAACAATTCTTCCTGACCATATACCATTATTCTGCCATATCTGATGGATCTGACCTTTATAATTCAATGTGTGACTGTTTCTTGCTGCCATTTGTGAGTTTGCATGTCAATGTTGAGTTGTCCACCAAGTTTTATTCTTCAACCTTTTAGTGATTTGATACAGTTGACTAATTTGCTAGACTTTTTCAGAGCCCAGTGACAATTCAGTCATATTTCTGTAGTTATGGAGTTACATGTAGACCAGATCAGGTGAAAACCATGGATTAATGATCCAATTGAGTTTTATGAGTAGTCATTTGTGGTAAAGAACTTGAGTATCACTAAAAAATGACATATTTGTGGAAGCTTTTGTTTTTCACTCATCAGTGTAATTAGCAAGAGATACCACTTTAAAGAGAGAAAAGAAGTATTTTTATCCTGTATGAGAAGAGTGCTGATTGGATGGAAAGTGTACTCTGGTAGAGGTAGTGCCATGGAGAATGCATCAGTTAGTTGTTGATTTACAGTTGACAGCAAGCTTTGTTAAAACTTAAACCAGGCAGGTGGCTTTGCTTGGTCAAGGTATTCCCTTGAATAATGAACTAATTTCTATCATCCGTTTTGTTGAGTTGAAACAGGTGCATATGTGTACATGGTTTTTCTGTCTGCAAAGAACAAGACCCTGATTACTAAATGTGTAGCTTCTAGTTCATGCAAGTGCACCATACTGTAAGCCCAACTGACAATAGATTGTCAGCATAGTTCCTACATGTTCAGGATTACTTAGCAAATGTTGTCCAATTGCAGAATCAAGTGTAATGTTAGCCACAGTGTTTTGAGTTTTGCTGGCATTAACTGGTTCCATATGGTCTGTATCTGTTTTTATTTTGCAAACATCTGAAAGGAGATGCTGTTTAATATGATCCACCAGTCTTTTGGATGTGAGGCCTTGACACCATGAATCTGAATAGTACTGAAATTCATATGCCTCCTAACTCATTTGTGTGATATGCAGACTTCTTATTGGCTTGACAGCAGTATCCTGTTGATGGCAAATACCACTTGTGTTCCTATGCACAGTATCAGAATGAAACAATTCTTTCATCTGAAACTCAAATTTTCTAAGGTAATCTGAAATAGACTGGAACAAAAACAAAAGTGCTGGAAAAGCTCAGCAGGTCTGGCAGACTTTGTGAAGGAGAAAACAAAGTTAACATTTCAGGTCCGGGTCTCAGTTCTGAGGAAGGGTCACTGGACCCGAAACTTTAACTCTGTTTTCTCCTTTACAGATGTTGCCAGACCTGCTGAGGTTTTCCAGCAACTTTGTTTTTGTTCCTGAAATAGACTGCATCCTTTTCAAAGCCAAAAGTGATGGCCTTAGGCCCGTTGATGAGTTTTTGCAAAATGGAAAAGTAAATTATTTAGTCAGGTTAGCCATTATTTAAAAAGCAGCTTTGATGTGCAGTATTTCAGTTTGCACAATGAACAAATGGCCCTAATTACAAGGTTGTCAATAAGGCAAATAATACAGCACATGGAACTATAGGAATCCTAACACGTACATTGACAGAGAAAGTTAGGCTTGTGTGGACTGTATTAGAGAATCCCCTATGATGATTTCTCGACTATTACATTGGGAGCTTTTTTGAATTCCTCATTTCAAAAGTGAATTTGAAAGCAAGTTAGAACCCATTAAGACTTCTTTTAATCAGTTATAATTTTATGATCATTATTATTAAGACTAGCATTTTGTTCTAAACTTTACTAAGATTTGAATATTAGATTTTCCCTGCTGCCATAGTAGTATTTGAACTTGAGTCCTGATCATTAGTCCAGGCTCCAAGTTACTGGTCCTGTGACATTATCATTATGCTATTGTCTTTACTGTATTTCATTATTAAATTATAAGACAAAACATTTGCAGAATTGCATGCCCTTTATCCATTTTGAATAACCCATTTTAGAAAACAGAATTAAAATATTTTGTCATTATAACTACATTTTTAAAATTAATAATTATACCTAATTAGTAAAACAACTGCAACTGAGTTAATTATCTTCAGGAAAAAAACTAGATAAATGCCTGGATAGGCGAAGCTTTTGCGTTATAGAGATACATATGAACTAATTTTAAATATCATGTGATACAGTGATCTATGTGCTAATATGGCAGCAAAGTGACTTAAGAGAAAAGTAGTAAGCCAAAATTCAGGAATAAATGTGAGCAGAAATGTGAATATTCTAAAGTATTTTTAGGGATCATGAAGTATTTATTTCAGAAATTTTCCTGAAGATTAAATGAACTAGAGTTCAGAATAAAGCAAATTAGTCATGGAAAGTACAGACTTGAAAGTACAAATAACGGATTCTCTTTGTAGGGTTGAAATATGGTGGCAAATTATTGCCAGAAGGATATTTAATCAGTGTGGGGATTAAGAACATGGTGCAAAATTCAGTGTATGGCCTTCCTGCTCCACTGCTAGTTGAAGCCTTGGGAAATGAATGTCCACTAAAGGGCTTTCTTTCAATGCTGCTACTGTTATACATGGAAAGGGGACTTGTGACATGGGGAGCCCTGAAAGCAGACCCTGTCGGGGATTTCTCATGGGCTGGGATTCCTCGTTCGAATGCCTGAATAAGGGATCCAGAACAGGGAAGTGAAGTCTTGTTAGGATCATTCCCCTTTCCCTTTCTGCCAATACACACCCCTTCCCCAGCACTCTTTCCCCCACCATCTCTCTTTGCCTGGGTCCATAATTGCTTCTATGCTTCATGTGGCTGTAGTGGTGGCATCAGCCTGTGCCTCATAGTGATGCTGCCTAACAGTAAAGAGCTGCCAACCTCTGGCCAGTAGCAGTCATTACTTCAGTGAGCTTTCCCAAATAGACATGTCAAAGGACTTTTGACCTCATCATCATCTTTGCGTGCCCTGTGCTTTCTTATAATATTGTTATTGACAACTGTTACCTAATTTGTTGTATTTTTGTTTCCATAACAAGGCGTGTTGCATGTATAGCAATGGAAAAGACCAAACAAGAACAGCAGGCTAGCTGTACCTGGTTTGGAAAGAAGAAGAAACAATACAAGGATAAATATCTAGCCAAGCACAATGCAGGTATTATGTTTCGTTTAGCTGCTGAAATTCTGAATCCTATTATGCCTGTACTTGCCCTTCTTTAAAAAAAATCTCTTTAAAACTATAATAATAGGATTCTTGCTGGGTTAATGAACAAAGTGAGGTTTTGTGATTGTGTATTAATGTCATAAGTGACCCATTGAAAATAATGAGGTTACAGCAACTATTAATATATTTTCTTGGCTTTTCAGCAATTTTAACCCAATTATTATAGTTATTTTCATGGATTCAATATATCTATCAGTAGTCATCTTTCTAGTTTAGGAGTTTATCAAAATTAAAGCAGTCCAGAGATTTATGTTTTAAATTTTAAGGTGCCATTGAATTATTGAAGAAAGTGTAATGTAGTATTAATACGCAGCAAAACTGCATTTTCAACCTAAAATGATATTTATTTTCTTTTAGTTACTGCACTTAATTAATACTAAAATAAGTCATTACAACAAAAACCATCAAAATCATATTTTTGAAATCCGTTTGGATTTACTGCAATATTTCTTGGCATCGAACTTTATGGAGTTGGCTCATGCTACACTATTTCTGTTTGTAAAATGGCATAATCCAGGGATCTACCAATGGATTTCCTTTGTGATCCAGAGTGAACAGTCATATCTTTCATGGATATATTACTCATTAGTTTCAATAGTGGAGTAACTTACTCATAAGTGAGGTGAGGCTTGATGTGAGTCATTAAAATTTATTATTACCTGGTAAAATGAACATAATAGATCCACATTTATAATCAGATCTATTATGATCACAATGACATAAAATAATGATGATGCTATGTTACTCTACATGAACAGGTCATGTTACTTAAAAACATCATAAATCCTCAGTGTTCTGGTTACAACCTAGGGCAGAATCAGTTCTTTGCACAGTCATTTGCATTTTCTGCATTCCTTTACTGCTAGACTGCAAACTGCACAATATTGAGACTTGGTCAAAAAATCTAGTGAACATGACTGTTTCTGCATGCCTTCCCTTTGAAACTAGCTTTGTGTTAAGTTCAGCAGAACTCCATCTCCCAAACCCCACACGTAATGAATGCAATGATCAGAATGTTTGATCTGATCCCGGTCTTATAAACTTGTTACGTATAGCCAGCCATTCTAGTAGCTTCTATTTGTCAATTGTGAGTCTATCCATTGTTAGTACAACTTCTATCTAATCTATTTCCTCTTTCACTATGACTTTGGTAGCATCTTTCTCAATAAAGACAGATGCACATTTAATACTTCACACGATTATAACTCAGAAGGAGGCCATTCGGCCTTGTGTCTGCACTGGGTTTCTAAATAAGCATTTCGCTTTGTGCCTTTCTCAGGCTTCTCCTTCCAACGCTGCACATTGTTTCTGTTCAAATAATCATTTAATTTCTTGTTGAATGCCTTAATTGAAACTGCCTACTCCACACTTTCATATTCAATGAATTCAAATCCTAACCACTCACTGCATGAAAAAGTTTTCTTTATATTACTTTTGTTCCTTTTGCTAACTATTTTAAATCTGTGCCCTCTTGTTCTCTATGCTTTTATGAATTGAAACATTTTTTCCCTTATTTACTCGACCCAGACCCCTCATGATTTTGATTACTGCCATCAAATATTTTCCAAGCCCTCTCTTTTCAAGGTGAACAGTATCAGCCTCTCCAGTCTAACTTTATAACCAAAATTCTTGAAACCATTCATATCAACTTTTACTGCACTCTCTTCAATGTCTTCAAATCCTTTGCACAGTATAATGACCAAAACCGGACACTACAGAGCTTTTCTGAAGAAGGGTCTAGGCCCAAAATGTCAGCCTTCCTGCTCCTCTGATGCTGCTTGGCCTGCTGTGTTCATCCAGCTCTACACCTTGTTATCTCTTACAACAGAACTACTGGCTTATACAAGTTCAGTATAACCTTCCTGCTGTTGTATTCAATGCCCTTATTTTTAAAGCCTAGGACACTGCATGCTTTATTAATAGCTTTCTCCACCTGTCCTGCTACCTGTAGTGATTCATGCTTATATACCTCTTGGTTCCTCTGCTCCTGCACCCCCTTAAGACTTGTATCCATTATTTTACATTGACTCTCCGTATTCTACCTACCAAACTGTATTGTCTCACATTTCTTCACAATGCACTTCGTCCTCATTCTGTCCACCACGCTACCAGATTGTCTGTCATTTTGAAGTTCTATACTACCCACTTCATAGTTTACAACATTTTCTAGTTTCATATCATCCCCAAATGCTGAAATTGTGCTTTATACCACAACGTTTAGAATCAGTAATTTGTATCACGAAAAGCAAGGGTGCCTACACTGACCTTTAGTGAACTCCACAACAAACCTTTCCCCATCCCAAAAATTATCCATTAACCATTATTCTCTGTTTCCTGTCACTCAGCTAATTTTATATCCATATTACTGTCTTTATTTTGTAAGCTAACTTAGCTCAAAAGTCTGTTGTGAGGCACTGTGTCAAATGCCTCTGAAAGTCCAAGCACACTACATCAACAACATTGACCTAATCAATTCTCTGTTACCTCATCAGAAAAAAACTCCAGTAAGTTTGTTAAAAATGATTGTCCCTTATAAAATGCATATTGGCTTTCCATAATTAACTCACATTTGTCCATGTAACTGTTGATGTCAGCCACCAGGGTTAAACTGTCCAGTCTGAAGTTGCTCAGCATATTCTTACACCATTTTTTGGAACAGTCTTAATAATTGAAATTTTCCAGTCCTCTGGCAGCTCTCTGAGTCTAAAGAAAGCAAGAACTAAGAGGCAATATAAACAACTTAGCCACTTGTGCCTGCTCTGCCATTTAATACTATCATGACTGATCCCGTAAAAACCAAAAGAGCTGTAGATGCTAAAAATCAGAGACAAAAATAGAAATTGCTGGAAAAGCTCAGCAGGTTTGGCAGCATCTGTGCAGAGAAATCAGAGTTACTGTTTCAGGCTGAGTAACCCTTCCTCAGAGCGGGCTCAACTCCTCTTTTCTGCTCGCTCCCCATAATCTTTAACTCATTACTAATTTAAAAATCTGTCCATCTCCTCCTCAAATTTCTTCAGCCTCCTGGCCACCACACTCTGGAGCAGTGAATTCCACAGATTCATGACCATTCAAGAGAGGTAATTCCTCCTCATCTCTGTTTTAAATCTGCTATCCTATAGCCTAAAATTATGACTTCTGATTGCCTCACAAAGGGAGATACTTGTTCTACATTTACTTTGTCAATCCCTTTTAGCATCTTATGTACCTCAATTAGATCTCCTCTTATTCTGCTAAACTCTCTATCATATAGGCTAAATCGCTCAACCTCTCCTTATATGACATGCTCTTCATCTCTAGAAGTAAATGAATGAAACAAAAACAGGAATTGCTGGAGAAAGTTAGCAGGACTGGCAGCATCTGTGGGGAGAAAACATAGTAATATTTCGAGTCCGGTAACTCCTATCAGAACTCATCAGTTCATCACAGATGCTGCCAGACATGCTGAGTTTCTCCAGCAATTTCTGTATTTGTTTTGGATCTCCAGCATCCATAGTTCTTTGTTTTATATTCATCTAGTGAACCTTCCCTGAACTGCCTCCAATGCAGATACATCCTTCCAAATCACAATTAGAACACCTTCCTGCTTTCATACTCCACTTCTCCAACAATAAATGCCTAAATTATATTTTCCTCCTTATTACCTGCATACCTAGCTTTCTAAACTGATGCAGAAGGAGATTCGGATCGTTCTATACTGAAAAGTTTTGAATTTTCTCTCAATTTAGATAAGTTACCTTTCTATTCTTTCAATCAAAATGGATAATCCCTCACATATCCATGTTAAACCCTTTCTGCCATGCCTTGACCTATTCACCTAAGCTATCCTTATACATTTGTAATTTTTTTAAAAATTTTTTATTGCAAACTTACTTTCCCAACTATTTTAGTGTCATCTAAAAGTTGGCTATAGTACATTCTTTCACAGCATCCAGATCATTAATATTGATTGTAAATAGCTGGGGCCCAAGGACCAAACCTTGTCGCATCCCACTAGTTACAGTTTGCCAAGCAGAAAGAGACTCATTTATCCCACTGTCTGCTTTCTGTTGGTTAGCCAGTCCATTATTCAAACAAATCTATTACCCCTAACACCTTGTGATCTTACTTTGTGTATTAACTGTTTATATAGTACCTTATCAAATGCCTCTGAAAGTCCAGGTAAACTACATCTACAGGGCCCCATTCTCTACTTTGCTCATTACATCTTTGAAGAGCTCTAGCAAATTATTCAAACATGATTTACACTTCATAAGACCATGCTGATGTTGATAGATTGCAATTATGACTTGCCAGATGTCCTGTTACTACTTTCTTAACTATGGATCCCAACAACAGACATTAAACTAACTGGTCTATAGTTTCCTACTTTCTGTCTCCTTACTTTTTGAATAAGGCTGTTACATTAGCATTTTTCCAAACCATTGAAACTTTTTCAGAATCCAGAGAGTCTTGGATTTTATAGCTACTATCTCTGCTGCCACTTCCTTTAAGACTCTAGGATGTAGGTCATCCATGGGGACTTGTCTGCCTTTAATTTTGATAGTGATTATTTTAAATTCCTCCTTTTCTATGCTCTGTGCATTACCTGTTATAATTTGGATGGTTTCTGTATCCTCCACCATGAAAACTGAGGCAAAGTATTGATTTAGTCACCCTGACATTTCTATGTTTCCAATTATAAACTCCCCAGTCTCATCCTCCAAAGTTCTGACATTCACTTTAGCTACTCTCGTTTTATATACTTACTGAAGCTCTTGCTATTCATTTTTGTATTTTGCGCTCATCTTCTTTCATAATGAATCTTTGTTTTTCTTTGAGTAACCCTTTGTGAGTCTTTAAAAGTTTCTCAGTCCTCCAACCTGCTACCCAACTTTGCAAATGATATGCCTTAGTTTCTCACCTTATGTTATCTTGACTTCTTTGCTTTGCCA